CTGCCGCGGCCGCTTGAGGGGCTGGGGACCTCGGCTGAGCCAGTGGCTGTTCCTGGGCCGGCGACGGGCAGCGGGTTCCCCTGCGCTATCGGCCGAACCCCCTGGACCGGTTCATGATTGTGTGATTGCATGATCTTTTTCATATGTCGTTGAATTCGGTGTGCTAATCTTTATGTTTAGGTTGAGTATAGACTATCATTTTCTTTTCTCGTACCGCCCTCGTATGAAATAGCAAGATCTATTTCCCATTCCCTCCCTTTTTCCTTTACTTTGGTCTGTTTTCCTCCGTAGCACTACATAGCATTTTGTGTATTTATATTTGCCTGTCATGCCTTCCTTTACAGAATGCAATCTAATTGGGGCTTGGTCTATTTTGTTTGCTCTCTTTTCTTCCCTTTCAAGATAGTTTTCCCACCCCCTGCGTGTGCCATAGCCGAAGGGCTATAGCATTTCCCCCCTAATATAAAAACAACAAAAAACGTGTATAAAAAGTCTTTTCAGTGTTTAATTTGTCTGCTGAGATTTTTTTTTGGAAAAAAATATAATAAATAAGATATAGTAGAAGCTACCTGTGTCTGCTAAACTGAATCTTTAACTTAACCTAGCCACTATCGGAAGCGATCAGCATCACGGGGACGTTCTGGAAGTCGCTCTAGAAGTCGCTCACCCTCAGACAAAAGAAGTAAACGTGGAGATGACCGACGGTCTAGAAGCAGAGATAGAGACAGACGGAGAGAGAGGTCTCGCAGCAGGGATAAGCGAAGATCTCGGTCAAGGGACCGGAAGCGTCTGAGGTAAGTATGCTCATCTCCAAGGACTGATTATAGGTTGAGTCTTATCTAAATTGGGCTTATTCAAAAGTGTGTTTTGGACTAGAATTTAGTGGCCTGTTTGCTGCCCTCTGCTTTGACTTCAGCTTGTTTGATTAGGTTCAGAACTGATTTTCCTAGAACCGTGATTTTCAACCTTTTTCATCTCATGACACACATAAACCAATTATTAAAATTATGTGGCACACCAAAAATATTTTTTGTTGATCTAACAAAAAAAGGTATAGTTTTGATTGATTAACAAAAGAAAACTGACTTTGTAAAAAAATCAGGTGCCTAGCCCTAGTCGGGTTGGCTCAGTGGATAGAGTGTTGGTCTGCATTGGCCCAGATTAAGGGCACATGCCTGGGTTGTGGGTTCTATTCCCAGTAGGGGGCATGCAGGAGGCAGCCAATCAATGATTCTCTCTCATTGATGTTTCTGTTTCTCCCTTCCTCTGAAATCAATAAAAATATATTTTAAAAAAATCAGATGCCTATCCTATATAATAATTCTATATAATAAAAGGCTAATATGCAAATTGACTGAATGGCAGAACGACTGGTCGCTATGATGAACAACCTCCCCCCCCCCCCCCCCCCGCATGAATTTTGTGCGCCCGGCCTCTAGTTCTTATGTATATATAAGGATTTCTGGTACCAAGAATTAACCAATTAGATACAACCTTATAATGTGACATGACCAATCAGATGCAGCTCTGTTATATGACCTGTATATTTACAGTTCAAGACAGCATTCACACTGGATGGCTATTGTTATGTTGTCCATTGTCATTTTTTAAAAAAAATATATTTCATTGACTTTTTACAGTGAGGAAGAGAGAGGGATAGAGAGTTAGAAACATCGATGGGAGAGAAACATCGATCAGCTGCCTCCCGCACACCCCCCACTGGGGATGTGCCCGCAACCAAGGTACATGCCCTTGACCGGAATCAAACCTGGGACCCTCAGTCCGCAGGGTGACACTCTATCCACTGAGCCAAACCGGCTAGGGCCATTGTCATTTTTTAATTTAACAATTTAAGGGGAAAGATAGAGATAGAAACATCAATGAAGAGAGAATTATCTATCAGCTGCCTCTTGCACGATCCAGCCCGCAACGCAGGCATGTGCCTTGACCGGAATTGAACTTAGGACCCTTCAGTCCACAGGTGGATGCTCTATCCACTGAGCCAAACTGCTAGGGCAGTTATTGTATGTTTTAACCCCTTCCCCGGCAGAAACATGTAGACACGTTTTCACAAAATGTTCTTTTTCAGTCGTCGACGAGTATACTAAGAAAATATGGTAAAAAAATATGGTTTATAGGAAGACGAGTTACAAACTGTTTTCATAACCAGCATCAAAAATACTATATAGAACCAAAATAAAAAAATTAGTCTGAAAAAGAAACGTTTTTAACAAAAAAATTGTTGGGGAAGGGGTTAAAAATTCTTGCCCTGGCTGGGTAGCTCAGTTGCTTAGAATTTTGTCTCTACACTCCAAGGTTGTGGATTTGATCCTCAGTCAGGGCACATACATGAATGCATAAGTAAGTGGAACAACACATCAGTGCTTTTTCTCTTTCTCTCAAAAATTCAATTAAACTCTAGCCAATTTGGCTCAGTAGATAGAGTACTGGCCTGCTGACCGAAGAGTCCCAGGTTTGATTCCGGTCAAGGGCACATATGATGCCCTTGGTTATAGGCCCGGGCTCTGGTCAGGGCGCATGCAGGAGGCAAGTTGTGTTTCTCTCATATGGATTTTCTCTCTC